TGCGTGAATTACAGTCTTCCGTGCTCGGTCGGTGCACGGACCACGCTGGTCTGCGCGCGTACGAGTCTTGGCGATGCCAAAGACATGTGCATTTGGCGGAGGACAATTTGCGGTCTTTACATCCTGCATTACAGGTATTGCAGAACATAACAATTTACATCAGCAAAATCAAGTTGACTCAGAGTTCATTTAACGACCAAACCTTGAGCATACGAACCTTGAGCACACGATGTCAAAACGGTTGAAATCCAGAGATGTTTCATTTGTCCTCTTGCGCAATGTCTTAATCAGTGAAATGGTTCGGCGCCACGAAGTCAGGAAGAAGGAGTTGAGTCCTGACGATCGGTCTGACGTTGGCTTCTTGGGAGTTGAAATGTCGCATAGTACTTCATGCTACTTCAAAAGGAGTCAGCTCAGTTGGTAGTTCACGCTTTATCCTTTGGAAGCTGCCCCTCCTGAAAGCTTTCTGGCTTAAGGCTTCAATTGCCTCGCCTGGAGAGCCAGCACCTGAGGTGCAACCACAGGAAAGCACCGCGCGAGTGCAAAGTTGTCAATGTGGGAAATGAGGGAAAGCAAACATGGAAATCATGTAGCTACAATGCTAGCGCGGCGAGCATGGTATCGACCCATGGTGGCCCATGCCTATCAGCCACAAGCGACCTGTGCAGCGGCACAGCACCTGAGGACGAAAGTGCGTAGACGCAGATACCAACTGCATACACGCACTGCATCTCTGCCATGCAAATATCTGTCAATCCATGAGTTCAAATAAAGCTTTCAGAAAAGACGCAAACGTTCAAAACCTTTCACTGCTGATACACTTGCAGTACTGCTGTTGAAAGCCAAGGATCCATTCCTGCTTCTCTTGCGACCACTCAAGCCGAAAGTTCGCCAAGTTTTCATGGCAATTGAAAGGCATGGAGGTCAAGGAGCACCCAATGCCGGCCTCAGCCCCAGTGATCAATCAATATCAGCGCACGACCCAAAGAAGGTTTGAAAGCAGAAATTCTATGCTACCTACGGGAGTGGGCACAGGGCCAACTCACCAAGATGTCCTATGTGATGCCTTTAGTTTGGCCAGGCAAAGGACACTGGCAGGGATATTGTTGCCAACAAACAGCCTAAAACCAGTCACCTCGATATTGAAACAACTGGTCTTTTGAGAACACTCACCTGAGTGTGACACATCCACTTGACTTGTTGCCCATTTGGCTACCCACAACTGTCTTTCTGTGGGCTATAGTTTGGTACTGGCTTGTGCTGAGAGGCTTCGCGACAGCACCAGATCTTCTTGGCTGGCTCCCACAGTTGCCGGTTCTCACTGAAGCAATCTGGCCTGGGCACCAAGACCGAGAATTAAAGATCCTTGCATGCTGTCAGCAGCATCCGCATGATTAAAAGCATGCTGTTGTCAGACCCTCCAATTCTTGCTCAGTTGATTGTGTCTGTCTGAGACCACACGGGCAGTGCTCCAAGACACTGGTCAAACATAGGAGGCCTGGCGGACGCCACATGCCTCGGCGGGCATGTGGAAAGCAACATCGCAGCGAGCGGATGGTCGGTTGACATAGTAACGAATGCGGCTCGAAGCGATCATCCTTTGAATACCGTGAATACCCTGGCTGGATTGTTTGGGTGTGAACGAGGGAGTGAAAAATGTTGGAAAGATAGTCTCCTACCAAACATGGTCAGTGTCCACTGTTAGTGGCAGGAAGTGTGTGGCAGGTGAAGATTTGGTAATGTTACCAAGTGTTTCACATGTCACGCCGTCACAGCTCCTTTGCCAACATGCATTCCAATGGCTATAATATTTTGAGATGGCACAAGGTCTTATTATAAGACCTTGGGGCCATCAATCTACTCAATAAACGCGTCCAAGCATCACAGGTCCACCATGAGTGACCTCAAATCACCAACACAACAACGCCAAGTCCTCACAAAAGTGTAGACTTTGGCAATTCTGTCACTGAAACGGTTTTGGCACCCAAAGATTGCCAATGCAACTCCGCAACTGCGTGATGCAAATCCGCCACCTTGCTCAGCCGATGAACTGGCACCTCGGTGGGTTTTGAAGTCGCGTCCTGTGGAAATTCGAAGTGTGTCGAACGAGCCGAGAAGCCAAACCGGGCTGTTCGCCAAACGAGCTGAAGCCCGAGAATTACACCGAACCACACCTTTTTCTACCCTGGCAGCAATGGCCAAGCTGCACAACTGAGTCAATTCATGGAAATGTTGAGAACTGAGTCCAGCATGGCAGCTATGATCAGCTTTGCCCGGCTAAGGCTGCCAAGGTACACTTCTTGAAACCACGCCCAACAAAGCAAAGGCCAACAAGAAAATCACAGCACCCAGAAGGCACCAGCGCAGCTCCTGGCCAAAACGCGTTGAACTCCATGGCATGCGCATCACTGGTCAAGCTGTTTCAACGCATGTTGATGGATTGAAAAAAGAGGTGCCCCAGCAAACCAAAGGTCCTCGGAGTTGCTATGTTCCACCATCCTGGTAAACACCTAGGCCAGGGCAAGAGCTCAAGGGCCAAAAGAAACGTCCTAGCTGCAAGGCTGGAATCCACACACCAAAAAAGAGTTTCGCTTCTTACTATATAGTTGCTGCTGAGTGTTTCTTACAAGAAATGTGAGGAAGAGGAGCATGTTGGCGGGTTGCATCTGTCTGAGGCGCACAGGCGCCACCCTCCAAGAAACCCTCCTACTGACTGCCCACATTCAAATTTCCAACTGCCCACGAGCCCACAAAGATGGAGCTTGAAGGTATCCCCGCTTGAAGGAGTCGAAATTGGTGCCAACCCTCATCAGAAAAAAAAACAAAAAAACACTTGAAACGACCCTCGTGAAAACGAGTAGAAATCAGTCATCTGGTTTTTTGCACGGGTAGAAATGTGGTGCGATTAGAATAGATTCTGAAACCGTTGTTTATCTCGTTTTTCTCGGTAGTACGCAAGCCGCGGCCGTGATAGTCCAGCAGAATTATTGCAATGACAACCTATGGCTTTTCTCATCAGTCCAAGCAGCACTGCGGTCGGCCATTTCGCTGGGGCGACCTGTGCTTTGACAGGGGCCGATTGGGACAGTGCACGACTCGAAAAACATCGTGCACATTATATAATAAGTACAATCAGCTTGATCTCCTGAACCAATAGGAAAGTTGAAACCGGCGTACCAATGGCTACCAAGTTGCTCCCGGCAACAGCTGCTCCCATCTCTGGCAGAATCTGCAGTCAAAACAGGGGCAGCATCAGAAACGGTGTTCTGCAATTCTGCTAGAAACCACGGGCATAAAACTTGCAATCTCATGCAATCCCTGGCGCAAAGTAATGGATGAATTGCAAAGCGCTTCCGGGCTTACAGTACTTGGCAAGAAAAAGATGCAGTGTTTGACATGATTTATCAGGCTGCACGGAGTGATGTGCCTGTACACCCGCCTCGAGGGCCTCCTGACATCAAGCTTCACAAGCTGTCTTGAAATCTTTCGTGAGTGAGTTGGAGGCCATCGCTATTATATAGGTTGGAATCCATCGCTAGTAGGTTGGAGGCCATCACTAGTAAGTTGGAGGCCATCGCTTCTGGGTTGGAGGCCATCGCTGTTGGTTCCCGTCCACCGCTATAAGAGAATTTGAGTTGCAGAGGATCTCAGCGCAAGCTCCCACACTGTCTCATGTTCGAGAAGCCCACCTCAGGTTTTGTGGCATCCGGCTTCCTGCAGCGACTCAAGGCCGAGGCCCACGAACGTTCCAATATAATCTAGTTTGTGTATGTATGTATGTATGTATGTATGTATGTATATATTTATATTGCCATCTGAGACTTGCATGATTTTGTGTGATCAACCAAATGATATGGGTTTTCCTCCCATGCTTCAAGTGCGAGATCCGCCCGGCTTCACGAACTCTGTGACCAGCCCGTCTCCGGCCTCGGCTCCTCCACTCCTGGCTGACGACCACGACGCAGCAGCCAGGGAGTCACACTTGTTCCTGGGACGACCAAGACGTCTGAGGCGTTCATCCAAGAGGAGTGAAGATTCTTCCGGACACACATGTCTATTAGGCCATTGGCCATAGGCCATTGGACCTGCAGCGGTTCCATCTCCCACATGAACTCATGGAAAGCACATGAGCTTGGGCATGTCTTCATGTCATTAGTTCAAGAGAATGCTCACCGCGACTCACCGTTTCTGGGTCCTGGAATTTGGCTGTCAGACCCTCCATCCTGCAGGCTCTGCGGAGGTGTCGGCATTCAATAGGACAACCCAAATGACTTTGATCCAAAGTATGTTCACTGAAGCCTGCTTAGTTTTAGATAGGTCAAGGTCACGAGCCGCGAAAGCTGCGATGCGTCGAGTCAGATGTCCAGCAAGGGCTCGCTGGAGCTTTCAGGCTTCATTTCTTCCACTGGGCCTCGGCAACCAGTGCAGTGCGGTGCTTTGTTCGGCTGCCAAGCTAGGCTTGCCAATGGCAAAACATACACAGAAATATATATATATTATATATATATACACAAAACATATTCTCAGGCAAGGCGCTACTTTCCATGATGCCGGTTTGCTGAACTCTGATCCCCTCTGCCAGCATGCATTGAGCAGGAAATACCAGCAGTCAAAGGACGGTTCAACCAAAGACGCCAGACTTGAGAAACACATAGAAACACCAAAGACCAAGGACCCTTTTTCTCAAGACTCAAATCTGTCGTATTGAGAGAGACAGGTGTGTGCAGCGAACATGCCACAAAAGATCAATTAGACAAGGGGATTGATGATGATTGCTGAATCGAGCCTCGTTGAGGAACCCAAAGCATATCTGATCCAGAATGTGTTCAAGGATGCTCACGGCTGTTTTGTCCTTTTCTCCGCCGCATATTTCAAAAGTGTCGACGGATGTTTCGACGGGCATGTCAATGATGATACAGTACATGTCAGGCTTTCAAAGCAGCTGATGGATCATGATTCACGGTAATAAACGATTGCTACTATATTTCCTTCGAAGCCCTTCACACGTGATCTGCACTTGCTGCCAAGGGCCCCGAGGGCCTTCGCCTCTTACAACACCTTCGGCACCATGGCTCTGCCGTTGGCTCGCACGGCTGAGCCTCAACCGCTTGCGGCGCCGTATGGCCGGTTCCGGCGGTTCCCAAAGGAAGGTCGTCACCACAGGGAAGCCGTCGCAGGGCCACGAGCTCCGAAAGGGAGCTCGGAATCTCCTCGCACTCGCGACGCGGAATCGAGTCGAACAAGGCCCTGGAAGACTCGGGGCCTGGAAGGCCCTGCAACAAGGCAAGTTGGCCCCGAAGAGTTCAAGACATTGTGCACTGACAATGTGACTACGGGTTGAAGCTGTCCTCTGGCATGGGCTTCTCCAGCGATGCGTTGGGCCGACCGCCCACACACCCTCGCCCATCGCAAGTGCAAAGCCCGCCCAGATTCGTTGGAAGAGACTCCACCCTCAGCAGGCGCGCTCCATAAGGGCACAAAGCACCACTGGGCCTTGGATAGGGACATGAAAGCTCCCTAGGCGCCACAAATCACACCCTCTCAGCAGGCTCCACTGGCCCTATGAGCACCACTGGTTTGGCTCGATAGGGGCCTTGGTCTCGACTCGGATTTTCGGCATGTCTCCTATGTCTCCTACTTCCGCCGGTGTCTCTGAAGCTCAGTGGCGTCTGGCGATGGATCCACACTTTGGAGAGCGTCTTCTGGCTAATGAAGTTGGAGGCGATCCGAAAGGCGAGCTTCGCCCAGCTTGGAGCGTTGAAGATCACGACGCGGCCCAGAAGCTGGGGCCGAAGCCATTCATTGGTTTTGGAGACCCGGCCCATGATTCCGAAAAAGCGACGGTCGGGCATCATGCTGGCGCCTGCCAGGTCCTGCAACGAGATCTGCTTCACGAAGTAGGACATGCGTCCTCAATCTCAACTCATGTTGAATTGGCTTTCGAAAGCATCAACAAGCTACTGGTGTTTGACAGCATCCGTAAAAACGGCATATGTCAGCAGCCCAAGTCTCGAGTGGCCGCCTCGCAGTATTGAAAAGAACATTCATTCAGGTAGTTCACCCATAACTCCAGCTTTTCGTCGCCCACCAGGTCCTGTCGAATAACACCGCTCTTTGGCGCCGATCGTTCGGCACTCCAAGGGGGTCGTGGGTCGTTGGAGTGACGAAAGGGTTCACCAAAGGCCATTCGCGTGACGAACGGATTTCGCCGTTCTCAGGTGACAAACTGATTTGGGTCCAGAATGGCGCTCTGATTGGTAACGCCAGCTCGAATGACGAAGATCCTGAGTCGGTGCGCTTGAGATGGTAGAGAGGGCGGAAACGCGGGGTTGAGGACAAATGTTCTTCATAAGGAGAGGCGAGAGTCGTGGGTCTGATTTGATAGAGGTAAGACATGGTAAGACTGGGTAGTAGACCTTCTGGCACTAAAGAACTGTGCAGAGTCAGGTGTGTTGATCAATTTGAAGGAGTTTACAATACAAGAAGACTTGGAGGTTTGTTATTCCACAGTGGAAAGGTCTGGACGCCTTGTGCCTAAGGTTGCCCAATCTACATCAACTTGCATGCACTGTGACAATATGTACATTGTGCATGGTGTGTCCAATTCAATCGGTTTTTGTGGTGCTTCAAATCCATCCAGCGACGCCCTTTTCCTGGCACCCAACCTGGGCCCTCTTTGGTTTTAAAACCACTAACCAAGTGCGAGCAGGAAAAGCAAATATATTGTAAGGAAACAGAGATGGCCAACAACAGCAAAAACAAAAGCACCGTAGTCCACAGTCACAGCATGAGTCTTTACATCATTTACACTATAATTAACATTCTATATCCATTCCATTGTGTGTACCTTCGTCGCCTGAGAAGGAGGGAAATAAGAATAAACCTTCAGAATTCCTTCTACGCCGACGAAACAAATCGGGTTCCTACTCCGTGAGCAATGCCAAGGCGCGGATCTCCAAAAGCCGTGGTTCCATGGAAGGCAGTCAGAAGCAAAGTCTGCAGGGTGCAAAGCTCCGAAGTGCTTAAGCCAGGAGGGGCTTTTCGTTCACGGGCGGCTTCCACCAAGCCCCTGTGCTCCTGAGAATTCGCCATGTACAAACAATGCACATAATTACCTGTGATGTCTCACGTTGTTCGTCCACAACCTCTGTGAAAACACCCCATGTTTTCATGAAGCTCGGAACCATTCGGAACCCATCACCTAGACATCAAATGACCTAAACCTGGCTAATCTCTGGTGAACCTTCTTGCCTTCTCCCGTCTCACCACGCCTCCACCGCGAGGGTCCGTTGTACCGCACCCCGCGCCTGGCGCCAAGCCAAGGCCTTGCGCGCTGCTTCCACCGCTTCGTGTGGACGTTGGCCGTAGCTTAAGGCATAGCGCAGCAGGGAGGTGTCGTCGAAAGGGCTGTCACCCAGCTCCTGTCACAACCAAGTGAGGCCCGAATGAATTACAATGCGGCGCTAAATGCTCTCGTGACAAATGTCTCGCCCTTGCAGTACCGAAAACCTAGCCTGGAAAACACCAGTGGAGTACCAAACCTGTCCACACCTGCCGCATGGCATCGATCGCCTCACGGTGCTGATCCAACAGCTGCCGCAAAGGCCGGCGCTCGAAGGCATTCACCCAGGCCATGGACGTCACCGAGACGGCCACGGTCACGGCCCCGATGCAAAGGAGTTTCAAGTGCTTCGCATGTCTTGTGGTTCACATGTCTTCTTGGCAGGAAGACGGGGAATTGCTCAGGCGAAAATCCGCAGCAATCCGTTGATGATTTTTAAAACACCTCTGTGTGGCGGCTTCACACTTTGACGTCTCAGTGCTTCCACGTTAGTGATTCAGCCGCACTGGCTTGGACATGGTTAAGCAGCTAAATGACTAAGAACCATAAGCAGTTCGTATTTGACACCTTTCGCGTGTGCCAAACGGCGACAAGAAACCGATGTTTAAGAGCGTTCTGGCAAAGTTACACCATTTTCTCCTAACCCTCCCCTTCTCGCCCAATGAGACAACTGAGCTGCTGGCGTTGGCCGTTGTGTTGCCATCAGGTTGCAGAGCTCGCTCCTCCCAACTGTCACCAATCAGATCATAGCCGCTTAGCCCCCGGCTTCCTTCCTTCTTGCTTGCTTGCTTGATTGCTGGCTTCCTTGCTTCCTGCGCTCTCACTCTCGCGCTCTCTCTCTCTCTTTTTCTCTCTCTTTCTCTCTTTCTCGCGAAGCCCACATTACTCAGCACATGAATGATCCAGAAATCTCAAACTTTCAAATTAGCAAACACCCTCCAGTCCTCATCTGGCCATCCCTCAGTGAACACCGACAATCTCCGTCACCCTGGCCGCGGTCAGGGACCAGGTTTTTGAAGCCACTAAGGGCCTCTAGCAAATCGGAGCTTGAGTGGGTAGATTCGGGAAGTACTTACGGAAGAAGTGTGGTGCCAAAGAAGGAAACGCACAACAGATGTCTGCCAGCCCAACATGAAGGAAGCGGGCCCGAAGCAAAGGGACCCAAGTCGCTGAACCAAACAAAGAGCACAGATTCCGAACTCTTGAAAACTTGCAGGATTCTCTTTTGATCTGCCATCACTGATCTGTATTCTTCATAGCCGCCAAGGCCTCTGCTTCTATCCACAAAATGGTGAGACATCAGATCCCTTGAGGAATTGCATCAGAAAGCTGGGGTTGTGCTGCGCCTGGGGAAAGGGAACTGCAAAGAAAAGGCAGCATGGGCGTTGCGGTCGAGCCCAACCCCAGCAGAAAGGCAAACACCTTTCACGGGTGGCGAAGCCACCGAGAAGTTCTTCAGCCAGGATGCATGCTGCAGAGGCAGTTTTCTCAAAGAGCCGAGCTGCAACCAAAGAATATATCAAACAATTGATATATTACATATATTATATTAGACAATAATACTAAATATATTATATATATGTCGCTGATGCCGTGTTGCTTCTGCATTGTTGTGAGCGAAGATAGAGTCAAATAATTGAAGCGTGCACCCTCAGGATTGCAGGAGCGCGTCATGTCGCTTCTGTACACTGCAGCCTTTGCACATGTGCGAATTCCACATCATCAAACGGCCACTTGAACATAAAACGAGCTACTTCCTGCCAACCGGGTTGGCAAGAGCAAAGTCTCGCACAGGTCGCCTCTCTGATTGCTCAAAACGGACCAAAACGAAGGTTCTTTCATCGCCATCTGCGAAAAGCCAACGTCCACGGCGCCCTAAATGCCATGATCGTCGATCTGTGACTACTTCTACATAGATGAAGCTTCTCTCACGCGTGGCCATGAGGAAGCCTAAGCTAAGCGACCGATCAGCGCACAAACAAGGTAAACTGTTAACCACTGCAAGGTTGATCGTAAAACGGGAAGAACACGCGAAACCAAATATGCCCTGGCACAAATGCCGCTCATCATAGTCAGCAAACTGCTTGCCACCGCCATGCGCCGTGAAGAATGGAGGTTTGTCCTCTCAAAGAACTTTCCAGATTGCTTCACTTCACCCAATCTGGTTCTCCGCTATCGCAAGGTCTGAAGCGTGGACAAGTGACTCTACTGTATGCTTTTCTGCTGCATGCTGCATGCTGCGTTCAATCTGTCTCGCGTCAGTCATTTTCCCAAGACAAACGCGTCCCACTTCTTGTTCAGGTCCTTGATCTTGGGAAGCTCCACCAAGTCACCGCGCAAGTCCACCGGGCGGTCTGAGAAAGGTAAGCCCCTCAAGTCATGTGACAGCTAAAACGTATTTTGTTATGAAGGATTCCTTCAAGGACGTTCGCGCAATCTCCTTCCATCTTCTAGGGTGCTTGGCCAGACTTTACCTTTCTCCCTACTGCTTTGTCAACGCAGTTCCCTGAATGTCCTCAATCAAAAAGCCACACATGGCTCCGTCATCTCATTCTCTTAGCCTGAAGAAGCATATGCTACGTGGCCCAAACTAAGTTCCCAGCACACGAATGCTAGAGGGCGCCGGCTTCTGCTTTTCCCCGGCAGCGCGGAAGTCCAAGGGCGAAGATCTTGCTATCTTGGAGATTTTAGCCTCGCCAAAACGAAATACGGAGAGATCATGCTGGTCTCTTGCAATTGTTCCACAGTTTCACATGGAAAAATCGACATCGCCAACGTCTGCAGGAATGGTCCTCGCCGTCATGCGAACGTCCTGCCTGCATCCTCTTGTCACGCTCCAAGGCGTCATAAGGCCCCGTGGCTTGGATACTTCCTGAACAGGCTGCTGAGGGGGCTTTATGGCCAAAGAAAACACCAAGCCGCTAACTTTGGCAAAGTCCAGCGTCTCAAGACCGAACTTGGCAACATGCCACCCCCCTGCCCTGGTCCATTTGGCATGCAGTGTTTGGGGCCAAAGAGGTTTCTGAGCACAGGGGGGGCCAGCCCAAGTTGAAGTTCCAAACATCATGCCAATCGAGTAGGCGAAACGGTCTAGCAGCCTAGCACAGCTCCGGTTGCCCAACTGGCAAGATTTCTTTAGGAACGCTGCACATCTGTTGTCAAACTCGCGCCTATGCAGGAACACGAATGTCAGCCGCCCTTACTTGACGATGCATATTCATATGCTACGGCACGTTGGCAACGTTGCTGTTGCATGACCCTACGCGACGTGCCTGACCATGTCCGCCCTTCGGAGCGTGGTACCGGTCACGGGCCGATTGAGCTTCAAAAACGAAGCTCTAGGAGCAGGCATCGCTACGAACGGAGCGATCGGACGCTACTAGGGGCTCCTGGCCGTACTACTAGGAGCAAGGATGCTACTAGGGTAGCTAATAGGGTCCTATAGGGAATATAGTCCGGCGAGATTGAGCATGCACGCCTGGCCCGCAAGAGCATTCAAACCACACGTCTAATCGGCACAAGGCCGACGTGTCCCAGGACCGGACCTGTTGATCTCAACTGATTCTTCCAAAACTCCACACCCTGACTTGCGCCTGTTCAAGGCGCCTGTACTGACACTCGATTCTTTCAAGCCAACCTTCCTCTGATTCCCTCCTTCTTTGTCAAGCTCAAGGGATGGTGGACCAGTTCCAGTCCTCTGCTCACTTCAGTTCAAGTCATGCGGCTTTCCCTTCAAATGCTTGAACTTCTCTCCAAGCCTGGAGAGAACAATACAGATGCACCTGTCATTCGAAGCCACTCCCAGGAAGGTCACAGGCATTGGGGACTTGGAAGGTGTGAGAAAGAAACCCCCAGCTTGACCTGGCCACGTCAGAAGTACCTTTCATGATGAAGGGTTTGATGTTCCAGTGCAGGCCAAGACTCTGTACATGTTTGCCGCCTTCACGTTGGCCTCATCCCACTGCTCTGTGCGTCGGACGGTCGTTTTATTGGAGAAAAACCATGCGTCCAACGAGATTGATGGTGGAAAAAACTCGCCACTGCGCCACGGCATTGGAGAAAACCGGAACTGGCCGGCTCAGGTTGCCACCACTTCGATTTGCTCTTTGGATCTGAAAGGCCCTTGATTCTTGCGCAGCCGACCTGAGGCAACTCCGGGGGAGTTCTGTTAGGTCCCTCCAACTGGCTCTGTGGAGCTCTGATGTAGGCAATTGATCAACAAAGCCCCGCAATGGAATGGTAAAGAACCTCTTCACACGGTTTGTTTAGACATTCTTTCAATCAAGAGTCTACAATGTCTACAATCATAGACCCTGGCTGTCCCCTGTGAGGTCCGCCGAACTCACCGTGGTGAACTGGGCCCCAGACCCGAGCTCGCTGCTCGAGAGAAATAGGGTGCCCGATCTGGAAGCTCCTGCGGGGGCATCCCACGTTGTTCCTGTGACATCTCAGCCTGCGCGGCAAAGCATTGCTCGGAGCCCCATAGCGAGCACACTTGTACACCAAGTGCCTGTGACATCCCAAAGCGTGCCGAACGGGCCGCAGCTGCCGACTTGTGCCGAGGCCTGGATGGAGTCATATCCAAAGCTGGATTCAGTCAACTAGCATGACAAAACAGCATGAGTTGTTGAAAACTGTGGATTGTAGCACAGCGATGCAGGACAATCCCCACGACCCTTATCCATAGCCTTTTCATAGATGCTGGCACCTTCACCTCAAAAGCAGGGTTCTTCGATGTTCTTCGATAAAGACTGTTGGGAAGGAATGTCACACATGCAGCAAAGGCCTGGCGGTAGGCAAGATATCGGAGACTTCATGACATCTGATCTTCTGATCTATTTGTTACAAACGCTACTAGTAGTAAGGCCAGGAGCCCCTAGTAGCGTCCTTTGTTCCTAGTAGTAAGGCTAATTCTATAAATATATATATATACCATGAGTATGAGTTTGCATTGTCGAAGTCTGCCAAGGTACTACACACGCATCGCGCAAGTGCTCCTCAATGGGCTTCTCAAAAGCCCGTGGCAGCAGGTCGCTGTAAGGTGGATTGTACACACCTGACACCCCAAATGACAATCACTATGGAGCAGTGCAGAACATATTAGTCGATTTAGTAGTGGATACGCATGGATATGCCATAAGGAGCCATAACTTTCACTCTGCACACCTGTCTATGTCGGCGGTGGGTGGCCCCCCTGCCTGGGATCGTCCTTGTGCTCATCAGGTGGTGCCTTAGAAGGGTCATAAGGCATCACATGTCTCTGTCCTGACAGAAGGCCAAGCCCTTCGATCTGAGACGTAGCCGAAACCGTGACGGATCGCTAACCGATATCTTCGATCGTTTGTTCTGTTCTTCCTCTTTCTCTCGCACCCAGAGGTGGTTCTTGTAAGACTTCACTGAAGCACCAAATGGATGCAAACAAGGCACAGGTCGCCAGCTAAGTTGTCAAACCTCAGAAGTCGCAAATGCAGGCGACTAAGCTCTGGACATATACCTTTGGATGTATTTGTTGTATCAACTGTCAGGGTGTTCGATTGGTTTCTACTTTTGAGGCATTGAATTGCAAGACTTTCAATTGGACACTGGGGACACCATCTACCTGCCCATCTCTTATATATCATCTCTTCATTTCAGGTAGGATGCTCCTCTTTGACCTTTTGCTCCTCCTGAATTTTTGCCGCTGCCAACTTCTCCTGAAGAAGAGCAACTGCAACAGCAGGGACCACCACCAAGCAATGAACAGTTGTTTCTGCAATCTCACATCGACTCCTTGTGTTCCTCAATGAGGAATGCTTTTGTCCACACGCCGCGCTTTTCAACCTCTCTGTTGGAGCCAGCACAACAAAGACCGCAAGAGCTTTTGTTTCACTGATTTCATGTTATTTCCTTGGCGTCATGTGCTGGTGTGAGAGGCTTCCGTCACGAAACGGATCCACCAAACTGGTGGCAGTCTACCTCTAAGAACACTCCCTTCTTTTCGCTAGTGCATCCCACCACGGCACCTTCTCCAAGTAGACCTTTCGGCCATAGAAGCTGTGCACGCGCTTTCGGCTCCAGCGTCCACGGAAGACCCTCTGAATCGTGCAGGCCTCGAGCTGAAAAGACCCTCCGACCCGGAGCCCCCGAAGATCCGAACGATCTTGCCGGCCATGTCGATCCGAACCAAGCTTGTCTGTTCATTCGATTGGAGTTTGTGTTGGACAGCGAGCTGATTTCGCAAAGGAGGCGCACGCCGGCTGGGCCCATCAGTTTTCACACACGTACAATTCTCTGGAATGAAGTCTCCAGCAAATCTAAGGCCCCAAACGCAATGATGGAAGAAGTGCAGTTTGAGGCGATTCTTTCCTGCCAAATCTCACTGCAGCTGACAGAAAGAACATCAACAAAGAGGGGGGGGGGCCACGTACTCGACCTCAAATGCCAACTACCTTTTCCCTTCTTGTGAGTGGTGAATAATGAGAAATACACAAAGGTCGCAATACCGCTTTGCCAATAATTCATGCGTAGATATGCGTAGTGCCGCAGCTGCCGCAAGCTGAAAAAGGAGCAGCAAGTTCTTGGGCCAAGGCACGCTCATCGCTGACCTCTCGAGCCTTTTTGCGACCCAGGCAGCCACGCACCATACGTTGGATGAGGCTCGCCTGGCAAAATGCGAAGCAGCCTCGCGAGACGCAAAGCCGCAAAAAATCAAAGTTTCTCATATTTATATAAGTGCAACCAACGCCACTGCTGCAACGATGGCGTGGTAGATGATCCGGATTTGAGTAGCTCGATGCACGGACTGGATTTTGGTGACTGCCGCCACCTGCCAGCGCGAAGGACAAATTGACTTCCCAGCTAGAAAAAGGCGAAAGAAGCCAAATGTAGCAAGCGCAGTTCTGAGTCTGGCTTGATGGACAGCTCCGCACCTCCAACGGGAGTGAGTCACTAGCATCCTGCGTTCTGGCAAAAAAGTTCTTCACCACCTGCCAAGCAAGCATGTGTCAGTGAACCACACACTTGCCAAAAATGGCTCACTGGAAAGTACACCAAGCAACTACACCTACCATTCTGGGCGTGGCTTCTGAACTGCGATGTCACCATCAGATTCACTGTGTTCCATCTGTTCAGTTTCGTCAGAAACCGCTTCATAACAAGGAAGAAAAACAGCACGCCTCATCTTTTCTAGCTTGCATCTCGAAGAAGTGGGCCATACCTCGTGGCGTTCTTCGGGGAGATCAGAATTCTGTTCGGGGCAGGCGGGAGATGCTGGGACATGATATGCTGAGTGTTCATCAACTAAGCCTTCTCAGGGGCGAGCCAAATTGGCTGCACAACAGCGCCTCGAAGCAGAGATGCTAACAGCGTGTGTTTCATCCGGCTGTTATTGACACACCGACACACCTTCTTCCAATGCCCTGGGGCCACTGTTTGTTGTTTCTCTCAAGTTCGGCTCTAAGCATGCACATGACGTGTCCTAACCAAAACACTATATACTATATACATACATATTTATGTTACTTTAATACACAGTACATGTGTGCGTGCACCTGTCTGTTTCTATGTGGCACGCCAGCTTCTGAGAAAGCACCCAGCCTGCAGTGCAAAGTGTCCGACTAGAACTAGGCTGGCATGACCTTGCGTGACAATCCGATGGATTCGTTTTGATGACAGTAAGGCCCAATCCATGTCCAGACAGTTTGTGTTCACCAGAATTTCCCGAAACTTCATCTACAATATCTACCAATGGATGCTTACTCACCCATGTGGAAGTGTCATGCGCCCCAATCTTCTGCCTAGATGCTTCCCAGCAGAATTCCAGTTGCTTAGCAAAACTGGAGCCTCAAATGGCTGCGTGAGGCGAGCACCTCGTGCATCTGGGATGAAGACTCACCTCGTCCAATCGGTCCATGTGTTGGGTATCCCCTGCCAAGGAACGCAAACGTTGCATCGAAAAGGTTTGGTTGGTAGCCCCAGTTTCGAGTTGACAAGGATATATATATATATATACATAGTCAAACTATGTGTGTATATATATATATGTATTATATACTGTATATATATATATAGAGAGAGAGAGTGTGTGTGTGGTCATCCCTGGTTCGGGGGCCCAAGTCATCTCTTGCAAACACCTCCGCAGCAGTGGCCTTTCACCAATGGCCGCACACACCCTTGGCAGTGCCAACATGCCGGCCGAACCACTAAAGAAAGAAAAGAAAAGCGATGAGAAATCAACCTCGTTCACGATTTGGGGTTCTTGGAGAGTGTAGCCGTGCAGTCGCCGGCAGGCAAAGGTCCAACTTGCAAGCCACAGAGTCAGAGTTTCACATGCCCAATCGAAGAAACAAGCTAGGAAAGGTGTGAAAAACAAGAAAGGAATGAATGTGTAACTGATGTGTCTTTCATTGGGCGAGCTGAATTTATATATTTCAAACATGTTCACACAACCTCCGTATATATATATATGGAAAGAAGCACCTGGACAAACCTCCTACCTGATGCAGGATGGCCACGTCTGGAAGGACATCCATCCTGGCTCTGACAGCCGCAAAAAGAGCAGGTCCAGAGGGGCCCCACCAGCGCATCCAAGTTCTTACTGTACAATCTCCTACCCACACTGATGGCACAGATTTGACCTCGCACGCAATTCCAATCAGGCACCTAGATGTCAAAGATGGAGTGGCCAAAAGATTGGACAAACTTTGGTGACACAAGCTGTACACGGATCTAAAAGAAAAAAACATAGACATAGAGCTAGGCAGGCATTGTGATTGCCAAAGCTTCGCCCTGGGCATGAATTCCACTTCAGGCACTCTGGACATCAACATCTAAAGTGTCCGAACCACTGTCACTTGAGGATTCATGGGCTTCATCTTCAGCCCTTTGCCACGACTTGATTTGTGGCTTGGATGAAAAACCAAAGGCCTTCTTCGACTGGGTCATGTAGCCGTTCTTGACCAAGTGATGGTAGCAACCAACCTGCAACCATCAGGTTCATTCGCCCTGCTACCACAAACCTCACGAATCTCGCACCATGACACGACGTGAAGCGTCCCACCTTCGCCACGGGGTCCAGGATCAGCCAGTGTCCCAAGCCCTTTCTCTTGGCAGCTTCACTTCCCATCCGGCTCCGAACGAACTTGAGGCCGCTGTAGAGGCGAACCTCGACTCACCAGAGTCACCCACTCTCATCAACCCAAGAGTCTTGGGCTTACAATCCAGGCTGTTTGGGCTAGCCATGAAAAGGCCACCCGCAGCCGAGGCTGCAGGGATGGGTTCAACCATGTTCAATCAGCTTTGCACACTCCCATCATACTGGCTACACCGTGCGGCTATATATGATATGTGCCAGCTTGACTCCGTTGACTCCCTCGTCACGACTTCGGACCCCCAGTCTCGGCAGAGTCGTTCGAACTGGCCTGCCGGTGATACGCATTCACTTGCACCGTGTCGCCGTAGAACTGGGCCCACAGCTCTGTGGCTCTTCTTGACACTCTCCTGGAGCAACCCACTTCAAAAGAAGAAAAAACAGGAACAGGTGGCTTCACTGTGACTTCACAAGGGCGCGATTTGAGCTGCTTCCACATCAGTGAGATAGATCATACATTCTTATCTATATATATATATACTATATGCAGTATATATGTATTATGTTGCAATATGTTGTAGCATGTTATATTATATCATGTTTCAGATGCACACACAGTTGTCATCGGCATCCTTTCCACTTGATTGGCTTGATTGGTGTTCCTGGCTGCCGGGTGTCCTGATATCAGTTTCTTCTGGAAAGCCCACCTGCAAAATTTCAGTGCAATCGCGAAGGCTAGGCTCAAGAGGCGGGTGAGGGCCCCAAAGGCTCTAGGCTCTATATAGGGAAAGGTTTCCTTGTGGAAAGTTCCTGCCTGCATGATGGCATGCTTTGGCTTGCCTTTCATTTTGCTCCGCAAGGTCACCACGCAGTAGGGAATCCCTAAGGCTTTCATGGCCGAAGCAAAAACCACACAATGTCCAGCGCAGTTCGCATATCCACGATTCCAAATGTTGGAAGCGAAGGTAACAGGCTTGTTCCTGCGCAAAATCAAGAATGAACGAGCATCGAACAAGAACCTGAAGCACTGCTCCACGGTTCCTATGCTTCTTTAGAAGGGGGGAGTCTGTGCAATCCTGGAGGCTTAGCCACAGCACGAAAACTTACCATCGATCAGCTCGAATTCGGCACTTTCTTGGCCAAGCTTCAATCCACATTTTCCTGGCTCTCGCTTCACCGTGACTTTGCCCTTTTCGTAGCGTATCCGGTGCGCCATGGCCCGTTGCAAAACGAAGAGCTGTTCGATCCGCTCCAGGCCTTGTAGCTTCGGCCCCAGTTCCTCTGGCAAATAGCCGTCCCCTCAGCCCACGAATCGAAAGGCAATTGGATCGGCCCGGCGACGCAATTGGCTTTGCCTGATGAGTGTTGATTGATTAAAAGTATATAACTGCCCAATTTGGGTGAAATCTCTCCATATGGGGGGCTTTAGTCATCAACAGTACCTACATGATTTATATAGAAAATCTAACCGGAATACAACCAAAAAGACATCACCAAAAAGGCTTCTTCAAACCAGTCCAGGACTGATTTTCATGACTCAGCCATGTGGCCGATGTATCGACCAATGTCCCTTCCCCAAGAAGCATCCTCCCTCCACTTGGCTGCGATCCGTGGCTTCGAGAGAACAGGGCAGGAAGGCACTGGAAGGGCGGGAAGCGTGCAACACACCGGAGTAGGAGCTGGAGGAGCTGAAGCCGCAGGATGAGACTCCTGCAACTGCAAACTCTGAATTTTGGGATTGGCCAGGTTGCACTGGCTGGGCCTATCACATGGAAATGAAGCCCCGAAAGCCAGCTCAGTTGTGCTGGAAACAGAGAATCCCATGCCTTGACACCTTCCTCCCATCGTGTGGTGCAGGCCTTCTCCACAATAGAAGCTTGTTGACTTTCTCGCAGCCCGTTGAGAAATCTCCAGGAAAGCACTGCAGATTCTGTTCCATCTCTCGTTTCTTGACTCCGGGCCGCTCGCCGTCCCTCTCTCGCACTGGCTGCAGGACGCTCACAGCGATTTGGACATCTTGGAAGGACAACCGCAGAGGGTACAGATGGAGGCATCAGTCCATCAGTCCATCACATGTTTGACAAACATGTCAAACATGTGAAATCAGTCGATTGCTGTCCACACTTCCATGTGTCGTGTGCAAACACAGGTGGTATTCGTCCAAACACTGGGCATCACTGGCATATGACTGAGACTCACTTCCCGTTTTGCAACGCTCAACGCCAATCATGCGTGAGGGATAACGATATCAGTAAAGCACACAGGATATATATATATATACCATATCCTCAGAGAAGAGGGAAAAAAGAACTCCCAAACAGCTTCCCTTGAGCCGCGAGTTCAAACACGAGGCCGGTCTTGGGCTAAAGCCATTCGTGCAAATTTCCCTGCCAGTTCTTCAAAGATCGACTAATTTTTTTAAAAGTAAAAATACACACACACAAACTATATAACGACATGTGGGGCCGGCAACCATGGCCGTCGCGCAGGAGATCCACTGCGTGGCCTCCAGTCGCCAACACACAAAAAGACTGGAAGAGGGACATTGCGCTGGTCGATTGTGCGGCAGCCCCACTATCCGATGAAGAATAAAGGATGCTTCGTGAACTAATCAGCGATGCATGCTTCTCAATCTTCTCTGAATGTGTAAACATGTTTCTTCATGCTCG